GTTGATTTGATTTGGTTTGTGTTTGGTGGGGTAAGGTGGGATGGAGGTGGAGGTGGAGGTGGAGGGGGAGGGGAATGGGAGTGGGAATGAGAGAAAGATAATGAACAGTTCTCTTTTTATGGTTTTTTTTAACTATTTTATGTTAAAATAGCTAAGTTGTCATTTTGTCCTTTTTAAATTTAGTCAAAATCAATTTTTCTAGTCAATCCATCCATTTGTCTCGAAACTAGTGCCTGTTTGGGGCAGATTATTCATCCNGTTGATTTGATTTGGTTTGTGTTTGATGGGGTAAGGTGGGATGGAGGTGGAGGTGGAGGTGGAGGGGAATGGGAGTGGGAATGGGAGAAAGATGAACAGTTCTCTTTTTATGGTTTTTTTTTAACTATTTTATGTTAAAATAGCTAAGTTGTCATTTAGCCTTTTTTAAATTTGGTCAAAATCAATTTTTCTAGTCAATCCATCCATTTGTCTCGAAACTAAAGATTAAGATAAAGTCCGTTAAAAATCGAAAAATTTGGGACTGTTGCTGCAATTTTCAGTTTAGATAACGATGAATTAATGGAAAAATATTAACCCATCATACCCTGATCGCTACGTGTAATAAACTGATTATATCCATGTGTAAAGAGTCTGTCACCCTCCATTATCACCCAACACGTTTTTGTATAAATATTACCCAAAACTTGATGATGGGAACATGATGTAGAAGCCAAGCCAAGAATAGAGCGAAGAAAAAACTAATGGAGGCCACAAAGGAAAGGAAAGAGCTGATGGAGAAAGAAGAAACCAAGAAGGTTGACGATCCAATGGGCAAAGCCAGAGAGTTGATTAAAGAAGCGATCATAACCAAAAATGGAGGGAGTGATGACAGAATCAGTGAAGAAAAGGGAGGATCTACTGCACAAAATCCTGTTGATGACAGAATCAGTGAAGAAAAGGGAGGATCAACTGCACAAAATCCTGAAGATGTTTTAGCCTATTCAAGAACTGTTCATCAAACTGATTCTTCACTCGAATAATCATTAATTATGAATTGTTTTACATGTTTTGTCACTCATCTGATTATTATTATCTTGTAGTGTTTTTTTTTATTTGCCGTTTTTTGAATTTTCTTGAACTAGTTGTATTTGGTTCCTTTATTAATATATAAGTTTCTTGATTAAATAATTGTTTGATGCTTTTTAAACAGTTAAAACAATTTGTTTATCGAGATATTCAATTTATAGATATCAAAATAATTGTAATTCTTAATAATAAGGAGAAATAAAATTTTCTTCTTTCTTAGGGGGTGGCTAAAAGGATTTTGGAGAACTTTGGCTACTTATACTTCATTTTTTGTAAGAGAAAAATTTAGAAAATTGGAATTTTAATGGGTTTAAGTATTTTTTCCATTAAAATATCAAGAAACGAACTTTTTCTTAATTTTTTCTATCTAGTCAAAGTCAAAATGTCATTTGTAATTTCTTTATTTAATTTTTTTTAAAAATATCCAAGTGTCCACCTTTGACAAATAATCTTGAGGTCTACGTCTTGGTCCCTCAAGACGCATACCAGATAAACTGTAGGATGTGCCTCAAACTGATCAGGGTTCAAGAATCCCTCCACTGATTTGCCAAAGTGCCGAGCGAGTACTTTAGAATGACATAGCTCTTTTATCGCGGAACTATATATGTTACTATCCTCTATTGATGTGTTAGTGCTATTGATTTTTTTTTCAATTGAAAGTCATGAAATTCATATGCAGTAGTTTGATTTTAATTAACACGAGCTATCTTGAAAATAATCCCAAGAACGTCCAAATAATATTTAAAAATAAAATTAATTTTCAATCATGCATTTCATTTCTCTACAAGAATTATATACTTATTCTGTTATTCACCATTCATTTATATCTATTTATAAATTAAATCGTTTATAAATTATTTTCAAATGAATGCTAAAATATAAATACTTTTAAGTTAAATCTATTTTTTTTATCCACAAATTTTGTAGAACTCACAAAAACTGCTTCTTTATCTACCACTCGTATCTATATAATTTAAATCCAAGCTGTATAGCACAAAATCTAATATTACACTTTAAATGTAGGCTGAATACAAGATGAAGTGCATCTTCTATCGAGGACAAAGCAAAGGGGAAGAGACCAGAAGCTCCATTTGGTCTGTACATCAAATGATTCTACCTTGCCTCCCCCAATATGGACAAGATCCTGTCTTCTTCGTCTGGCCAACTCTTTTTCTTGTTCATTGCAAATGCTAAATGTAAACAAAACACATTCCCTGCTTGATTGTGTTGTCATACAAAAATGAGGCCTAATTAAAATAGTTCAAGAAGTGGAGTCAAGTTGAGAAATTTGAGGGATATGTCCAAATGAGACCATGGTGAAGTATAGTGGAGGCCCATAAACGGAGGACAATCATCGCTCAAGCCTATAGGACGCACAAGATCTGAGCGAATGAAATGTCTTATTATCACTCAGAGCTACTGTCTCATTCTCGCCCAAGCCTTTGAAGACGCCTAAGATCTGGGCGAACATAGCGTCCTGTTTTAGCGGCGGTTATTGAAGCAGTTTTTGAGCAGTCTTATCACATTTTACGATCCAAAAATCTCGGTTGCAAGCAGTTAAGGAGAGTGGTGGCAGCAGTTTCTTGACACGTTAGCCATTATGAAGCAAGTGTGTAGTTATAGAGCGACAAACAGTTTCCAAACGATTTCACAAGAAAAACTGATGAAAGAGTATAAAAGAAAAGGAAAACATATAAAGAAACCCCCGAATCAATCACTCTCAAACATAGAATATGTAATTTACTTCTTTTAATTCATATTATCAATTTTCAAATTACTTTGTGTGCTTGTGCTCCTTGGAGGCGTTCTGTTTCGTTTTTCATTGTAATCTTCATAAATAAAGCACCCCTCGTTGGGATTTTGTCTCAAGAGGTTTGTTCCTTACACAATCGTCTGAATCATCTTTTAATTGTTAGCGAGGCTCGATAAATCCCTCGCGAAACAGCTTGTTTCTGTTTTATGGTTTTCCGGTTTGGATGCGTGCAGGCCTATCTGTGACCACTCCTATATATTTAGGTAGATTTTGGTTTTAAGAACTTCAGGTGGGGTCGGGGTGCAATGCTGGCTAAGATTGGACAGTATAATCAATAAGATATTGTCAAATCCTATGTAATCATTCTAGTGGATCTAGTAATGGTCAAAATTTTAACGTCTTTTTCTTTGTTAATCATGTTTAGTCATGCCTAATTTAATCATGGTCATCTTTAATCTTTATTATCATAAATATTGTTGACCCCAAAAAATGAACTCAACAGATACCGGGCCCACTCTTGCCGTGTCAAGTACAGTTCCGGCACGTTTCTACCGGAATGCGATCGGTAGCTCAACTGTTCATGAACGTGGGAGGTACTTTCTGGCCAGAGACAGTGATGTTTCGGGTTCCGG